CTTGGAAAGAGTCCAGCAGAGGGCCACAAAGATGGTGAGGGGCCTGGAGCATCTCTGCTATGAGGAAAGGCTGAGTGAACTGGGTCTGTTCAGCCTTGAGAAAAGAAGACTGAGAGGGGACCTGATCCAGGTCTGTAAATATCTAAGGTGTGGGGGGGCAGAGTGGAGAGGCCGGACTCTCTTCTGCAGTGTGTGGAGACAGGACAAGGGGAAACGGCCAGGAACTGCAGCATAGGAAGTTCTGCACAAATGGGCACAAGACCTTCTTTAGGTGAGGTGACGGTGGTGGTCTGCAAGCTACCACCAAGGTCTGCAAGCCACCACCAAAGTCTGAGCTGAACACAACCTTAATTTTGGATTTAACTCCTAGCGTTGAGTGTTTGTATTGGCTTGAAGCAGAAGTTCCCTGTGTTTCTGTTGTATGAGTTGATGCCTTGAGGTGTTGGCTTTGTGACTGAAAGGAATTGCAAGGAGTTGGGAAGCTATCATAAAGAGAACAGCAACTTCTGCCTCACAATTTTTGGTTTCCTAGGGACAGAACGTTTCCATCCTCTAGTAAAGCCTCCTGGCTAGTCAAAGCCTTTTGGCTTTCTCTCTTGTAGTTGTGGGGATTAATGTGCCTTGCTTTGCATTGCCAGAATTTGTTCTTATTTGAGAAGGAGCGGAGCCAACTCTGCTGATTCCTGGCATTCATCTTTCTTCTCAGGAAAAAAAAATGCAGGAGAAGCTTGAATTTGAGCAGTGCTTGAACATGGGGCAAAGAGAACATGCACTGCTTGTTCAGCAGATCAACAATCAGAAGGACGAGATACTGCAGACAGTAAGAGAGATGGGTCTCTTCTGGGCAGGAGCTCTAATCCCTGCTCATTTGCTGAGCTAGGGCTGTGCCTGCTGCCACAGACAGAGAGGTGTTTTGAGTGTCCACGTGAGCAGAAACTTTCCCTCTAGAGACAGCAGCTCATTTCACTGCCCTCAGTGTTTTGCTTCTGCTTTCTCCCTTGGACTCATTAGGGATGCTGTAACAGTCATTTGATAGGTGGCTGTTTTGATTGTACAAATTGGAGCTGTTTTTTTTTTTTCATTTTTTTACATCTTTCCTGTACATAATTGCTTGACTTCACAGATTCTCAACATCTCCTTGGAAGCACCTTGGAGTTCCTTTGTGTTTAGGCTGCCCCATCTGATGAAGAATGAAGGATCTGATCTCCTTCTCATAACATCTCCCCAGAGCTGCCTGGGGCACTACAACCAAACCCTCCGTGATCTGGCCCAGTACAAGATACTACGTTTCTTAAACTGACCGTGTTCTCCTTTGGTTCTTTTACCTTGGCCTAGAATCAGATGAGGTTGGAGGAGGGCCTGACAAAGCACCAGCGGCATTTGGAGGAGGAGCACCTGAAACTGCTGCAGCAGCTGAAGCAAGCAGAGCAAGGCATTGCCAGCCGTATCCAGAAGCTGACAGAGGACAATCAGAGGTGAGGCAGTCACAGGACATCCTGCAGTGAGCTCTGTCCACTGGGGGCTCGTGTCGTGCTCTGAGTTGTTCATTTTGGCCTCTCTGAGTTTTAACAGAGCTGGTCAGTCCTGATACTTAAGTGAAGTGGAGTGCATGTTGCTTCTGTGGTCCCTGTCCAGCATGCAGCCTTTGGACAGAGCTCCCCAAAAGGCCTGCAGGCTTGGTTACAGAGCTAAACTGTCCCTGCAAGCCTGTGCTGTACAGAGGCAGTGGAATTGCAGACTCCTGTGCTGCCCTGGCTGTGGACATGGTTGCTTCTTCCCTTCTCGTGTGTGTTAGCTACACTGAGTTTGTCTGCACTCAAGTATGTGCTCATAGATTTGCAAATAAAGATACCACTTTCCCAGCTGCCACTTCTAGCAGAACAGGATCAGTGTCGGGATGGAGTGTTAGTTGCTGAACTGCCAAAATCCCACTTAAATGAAGTGGAATTTGGCACCTCAGAAGAATATTTCACACATCTGTGCTTTTGAAGTTTTGTGGTGCTGTGTAAAATTTGAATTCCTCATGGAAGTTACATATTTGAACAGCAGTGCTTAGTGTTCCTCTTTAGTGCTCCTTCTGGAAGGTGCATATTTTGGTGATTGCACTTACTTTTCATCTCAGAGTAGTCCTAGCTAAGGAGTTTGGGAACAAAACCCTGTATTCTACTATCAAGGACCAAGAGAAATCTGTTGGAAAGCAAAGCACTTACAGAAGTGGTCCAGTAATGTGTATGGGAGGAATACACCAAACTCAGTGCTGCCATTCAGCCAACACTTTGATCTGGCTTTGCCCCTAAAATTGGTTTTCTGCAACTCTCCTCTACTTTTATATTGCCCCCTGCTTCCATGAGGTGTTTGTGCTGTGACAGAGTAAACTGACCTGGCTGAAAAATATTCTCTTTGTATGGCAGATAGTTTTTATGTCAAACCATTTCCCAGAAAGTTAAGTGGTGGTGTGTGTAATTGTGCTGGAACAAGGACAGGGAGGTGGGAGGGAGATGAGGCTCCTGCTTATAGTGGCAATGCTCACTGCAGTCAGCTTTAAAGTGCTCCTCAAGCCTCAAGGGAAGGAAGCCTGTTTCCCAGATCCTTGTTAGGTCTTCTGGGATGAACTTTCCATTGTAAGAAGCAGCTGTTCCCATGGTTTTGAGGAAAATTTTATTTTTTAATAGACTTTTATACCCTTTCCAAGAAATCACTGCAACTTTTGAGTCTCTGATGAGCATGTGGCTTTCTTGTACAGGTTGCTTGCTGAATCTGCCCAGCCTTGGGTTCTGAGCTGAGTGAGCAGGAGAGGAGTGAGGTAGTGCTTCTTTGAATGAGTGGCTGAATTATTCTTATTTGCTTGCTAGAATAAGGATGGAACAGCTGATGGCAATCACACAGGAGGAGACAGAGCATCTGCGCAGGAGGGAAGTGGCCTGTAAGTCCAAATAACTGGGATAGTAGGTTACTGGAAAGACCTGGTTCCTTTGGATATGCCCTGAAAGGTGATTGCTGTGTGGGAGATGCTCTGCTACACACGTTCTTGCTGTTTGTTGCCTCATGCATAGAGCAGACTCGAAGTGGGTAGCACTGTACACATACCATGGCTGATCAGTGCTCCCACCCGCAACTCACTGCTGATTCTCAGGTGTGAGTTGTGCCCCTGATGTAGCTGGAGTGTATTGCATAAGCAGTCTGAAACTGATGGTAAGGCATCCTGTGTGCACAAAGTACTTCCTACTTTAGAGGTACCAAGCAGATGTTGACTGATCAGGTTTGTGAGGCAGGAAGCATATTAGGAGGTAAGCAACAGTGCCACAAGGGAACCATTTCTGCTCATTGTGAGCATGAATGGAGCTGCTGGAGTTACAATGGAAATGATGTGTGTGCTGTCACCCCAGGAGTGGATGGTTCACAGCAGTACAGACAGGCCTGTAGCCTGTCTAAGGCACTGATTTTGCTTCTCCAAATACTGAAGAGATGCAAGCATAGTAGGATTTGTTTGTGTGATTTTCCAATAAATACCCACAATTCTTGCAGCTGAATGCATCTCCTCATAAATGAATGAGATGGGAATAATGAGAACAGGTTGAAATGAGAGAAAAGGCACTATTAATTGCAAGTTATTCTAGCAGCAGTGGCAGATCAGTGTCTCTTCCAGAGAGGAGCTCCTGATACAGACTGACAGCACTTCTGTCTCCTAGCTGCCATGCAACAAATGCTGGCTGAGAGCTACAAGAACAAGCTCATCCACATGACCTATGAATCTCAGCGGCAAGACCTTGTCAGCCAGGCCTGCTCCAGGTATGCTGGGAGATCTCTGGGGCTGGAGATGCTGCTGTTGTAAAGTTCCTTGCTTGCCAGCACTCTCTGGTGTGATTCCCATGTAAAGAGCCAGGAATTTCTGCAGCTGCTGGATGGCAGCAGAACAGCTCTGTGTGAACCAGGTGACAGTGCAAAGTAAAGCAGCGTGGTTAAATGAACCACCTTCTAACCACGAGAACATGAGATGTTAATCATGCTTTGCACCTGTCACATGTTTATACCATTTATTCTACCTTATACATCCTGCTAAGTATGGAGGGTGAAGTTAGACTGATCTTTTTGTTATTTGGTTAGTCAGTGTCAAAGTGTAGCGCAGTGCCTCCTAGGACTGTCTAGAGGATTACGTTTCTTTTTCCATGGTATTAAAAAAGCTCCTAATGGAGAAGATAATAATTATGGTGCAGAACTTTTCCTAGTGGAAGCTATAGCCTTTCATTTGTTGCACTCTTGTGGAATTTTCATAGTTCTGCTGGACAAATTACAGAGCAGGCTGAGGTTCTTCATGGTTGTTTACAGCCACATTCTGTTTCTTAGAAGCAAGGCTCTGTTCTCAGATGTGGTCCTTCTTGCAGGGTCTTTGGGGAAGTGAAGCAAGCTGAGAAATTAGGAGGAAAAAATGGAACTTGGGGACTTTATTGCCCACAAAGCTATGAGACCTTGTGACGTGCAAGCTGGGATGTGTCACTCCAGGAGCCAGTGTGAAAATTTCCATCTCTGAGCAGTGAAATTGAGCAGTGATGAGCCAGGTGGAATCGAGCAGTGTTACAACAGAACAGTTGAAAACTTCACATTTTGTAATATGTGAAGGAGGCACAGAATATTAAAAATCCTCTGGACTGTAAGGATTATGTGGGCACAGTTTGTGTACGTGTAGCACACTGCTATAAATGAAGAAAATTCTAGCTCTATTTATTTACAAGAATGTCAGAAATCTGGAGGTGTCTGACAGACAGAATTAACATTGTGCACCCGTGCTGTGCCCAACAGAGGGCAGTGGGTAGACACAGTCCTGCCTGCAAGTGCAGGCAATACCTGACCCTGCTGTCTGGACCTTCATCAGCACAGCTTTTTCCAGTGCAGAACACTGATGTGCAAATTCATCACCTGGGCAGCTTGCTGGGGCAACCACGGCCCCTATTTGGATTTTCAGTAACTCCTTGACAAATATATTTTCTTGCAGCCTAGCTGAGATGGATCAGAAGTTCCAGCAAATCCTGGCTTGGCAACAGATGGATCAGAACAAAGCTGTTAGTCAGATCTTGCAGCAGGTAGGCAAGAGAGCAAATTGCATGCAGGGAGAGACTGAAGAAAGGCAGTAGGATGCAAAAGCAGAGTTGAGAGTGACAGGTATGGGAGCAATGGTTGCAGGGTCGGGCTGTTTGCAAGAATTGTTTTATAGAACACTATTGGTTTAACTTGGAGACCGGTGTTCTAACAAGCTAGCTTTGGTATCTGAGAGAAAAATGTGTTTATACTTTAACTAGACAGCAACTTCTCATGAAGGACAGCAGCACAGACCATGGGAAGCAAAAGTGGTGTGATGATTAATACAGAGGATTTTAAGATTTGAGAGAGTTTTGACAAGTCCTGTCTTTTTGGCAGGCTTCTTGGGTGACTTTGGACAAGCTGTCTGGATGCCTTTGGGATGCATTTTCTGAGCATCTTCTGCTTTTGAATACCTCATTTTGAGACCTCCTCAGCTCATTTTTCAGATGTGCTGGGAAGTCATGCCTTGTTGCACAGACCTGGCAGCCTGAGTACTCAGTGCTGCTGAAAGTGGGAGGTGGGGTTCATATACAGCACTCAACGTGTGTGTATGTAGAGCATGACTGTAACTTCTGTCATTCTGTAAGGAGGGTTTTACCCTCTGGTCAGAGATCTTTACCTTCTGGTGAGATCTATGCCATATTGTAATGTGAGCACTGTTCATGCAGAGTTAGCATTGTTCATTTGTACTTGAGCCACTGCAAGGCAGCAGGGTTTCTTTAGGTCGTTCACATCTGCATGAACAACCTGCACTGAGCAGAATGTTGTCTGTCCCTTAGAGTGAGATGCAGAAAGCTGCCTTTGAAGCTCTCCAAGTGAAGAAGGATCTTATGCACAGACAGATCAGGAACCAGGTGAGTCAGCAGTAGAGGAAAGAGCAACCAGCTCCTCATCATTTGCTGAGACCCTTATGAGGAAGATCAAAGTGCTGTGAGCAAAGAGCAGGAAGGAAATGGAGAGCTCTTGTATTGTTACAGACAAAGCTTTGTGCAGTGTGAGATAAACTAGTCTCCCAGTACCATAGGAGAGAGTATAGAGACAGATTTTACATTTGTGGAGTTAGTAGGATTGCCATTGCTTTGGTCATCTCAAAACTGCTCTGGATGAGATGCTGGAGAGTGGTCAGTAGCAGACCTGCATTGGCTCTGTAGGGGTGGTCTGCAATTGCAATTACCATTTTCCTTCAGGTTTCCTTGGTAGGGCTGTTGTTTCCACGAGTCCACTGCATCTCCATCTAGCACACTGTAACTGCGCCTTGAGCCATAAGTTCACCTTTTCTTTCCCATTCTCAGCCTGCCTTTCTGAGCAACATTCTGCAAAAGGTGAAACAAAATAGTCAGGGGAAGAGCAAAAGCTGCTGGGGAGGTAGCAGTAATTGATGTGTGGAGGTGGGTAGCTGCTTTCTGATACAGCGTTCCAGTTGCTTCCCTCTCTTGATCTGACACTAGGAGAAAAGTCTCAGGTCTGGAGTTGGTAGATAATCTCAAAGGCTTTGATATATTCAGTCACTTGGTGACCAGTCTTTGCACTGTGCTTAAAACCTATGGATTTTGCACAGACAATCCAGAAGATGAATCTAACCGCCTTCCATTGCCTGAGATCAGTAAGAGCCCGGCAGTTTGCTTGCTCTTGCTTTGTAAACAAAGGGAGTTTGTTTCTTGATACCATAGGCTGGGCCTTTTGCTACTGAAACCCATCCCACCAGCATCCTGTAGGGCAGGGGCTGTAGGTGCAGCCTGCACAAAGCCTCAGTGTCAGCAGGAATTTGGTGGTAGGTGGCACACAGGAAGCAGAATGGCCTGGGATGAACAGATTGCTGGGCTGGCAGGGGAGCTGGGCTCTCTTCTTGGCTTGGGATCTTGGGCAGCTCATTTCACCTCTCTGTGTCTCAGTTACCCTGACTGAAAGAGCATGTATCGTGATGGGAATTGCTGAAGCAGCTGGGATCCATGACAGAGCTCCCAGTCCATCTGCAGTTTGAACACTGGTGCTAAGAGGATTTTGATAACAGCTGCTTTCCAGAGTGGCTGCAGGGTTTGGCTGAATGAACTGATTGCGCTGTGCTTCTGGTCTCGAACAGAAGGTGTTCAGTGCAGAGAGTGGGAGGCAGTTCTTCAGGCATGAGACAAAGAGCAGCCGCAGAACACGTGTCATGGTAGGGCTCCAACGTTCCCAAGCTTATGGGCAGCTCTGCAGTGTTGTCCTTCCAAGGTCAGTAGTTAGACCTCATTTTGAAAGAGTGTAAATTAAAATCATTTCAAATGTCAGTAAAAAAATGTTTCATCTTCTGTTTAGATTAAATTAATAGAAACAGAGTTATTGCAGCTGACACAGCTGGAGTTAAAGAGGCAAGAACTGGACACAGAGACGCTGCAGGAATGTAGGGCCCTGGGACTGCCCCACCACACTCTCTCGGCTCTGGGATTGCAAAAGCTTCACTTGCTTCTTTGGCTTCTTGCAGTTTCCTGGTGGTTTTGTGCTTAATCAGAAGGTACTTAACCCCAGGACACCAAAAAAACCTCTTTGTCATGGTGATATGGAAACGCTGCTGCTGCTTTTAAACTTACTGATGAATGGCAGGAAAGAGACAAGTAACCTGGCCTCCTTAGAAGTGGGCAGCTGTAGGCTTGCTGTGTGTGGAAGGATTTTTCAATCCAGTTGTTGGCTGTCCCAGAAATCCCTGCTGAGCATCTCATGTCTTCTCACATGTTGTGTTTAGTTTTAAATACCCAGCAACAGTGACTGCCAGCTCTTCTCCTTCATTTCTAGCCCATGACTCCTAGGCTCTTCCACCCCACCATCCCACCATTCAATGGGTTGACTTCATCAGCAGTCATAATTGAGAAATCTCACATTTGGCTTAAGCAGCTTGGCTTTAAATTGTTGATACACCTTTGCATCAGTTTTTGCCTTGTGTGCACAGTTTCCCAGTTTAGGTCACCTCTTTATTCAGCCCAAGAAAGTGAGGATGTATTCCAGTCCCTATCTGTGTGGCTGTTGGGGCACAATGTGTTTGCAGCTACACTTCTGCACACTAGGAGAGCAAACTGGAGACAGCTTCATCTGCCTGCATCCCCTCTGCTGTTTGATGGTCTGCAGCCCAAAATTTCCTGCTGCCATTGAGCCCTTATTGCTCAGGCAGTGCCCACAAAGTGCTTTGGCAGAAATATTCCTGCAGTCATGTTTGTGCAGCAGATTGTTGCTCCTCCTATAAGATATGGGTGCTTTAGTCTTGAGCTTGGAGAATCACAGGAAAGCAGGAAGAATAACAAAAAAAGCCCTGAGAAAGGGAGGTGTTTGCACCAGTTATTTTTTGCAAGGTTGGTTTGGAAGAGACCAGTGCTGATAGGATATCCTCAGCTGCTGTTGGTTGCTCCTTCGCATGTCTGCAGGCTCCTAGATGTAGTTTCAGGTGATCTTCCGTTAAGGAGGACCACAAACGCTTCTGATGCCACTGAATGAACTTTTAGTGTAGTGATGAAGAGCTGCTGCAGGCAGGCACAGCCTGGGGCTGCTCAGTGTGTGCTGAGGATTGGCACCACTGGTGAATGGTCAGTGCAGGACCAAAAGAAATAGGCGTGCCATGCCAAAGGGAGGATTGAGGCCATCTGCTCAGCTGTGCTGTGGGGCCCATGCAGCATAGGAATTTAACATTTGCTATGACAATTCTGGGTATATGGTGAGTGCTTTGCTGGAAATTGGGGCAGGGGTTTCCTGCAGATCTGAGAAATGGATGCCAGAGTCCTTTTATTGCAGGGGGTGATCATAGAGCAACGCCAAGCACTTGGTTACCTGCTGCAGTAGCTGCTCAAAGAAAGAAGCAAAGGGAAGAGGAATTGCAACAAATACTGGTAATGAAGGCCCGTAATTCTGGGCTGTAGATGAGCACAAAGCACAAGCCTTTGTAAGCACGAAGGCTGTCTGCAGGGAGAGCATCCATGGGTCAGCACAGGGATAAAGAAGAGCAGGGAGGGGCTCTGAGTGGTGGTGTCCGGACTCAGACTTCAGAAAGTGCTGATGTAAGCTCTTGGGGCATGGTTACCTCCGGTCCCTGGTGCAGTGTGAGGCCCTGGTATCTGAAATGTCCCCTGCTTCCCCCATCTGGGGATGATCTTTCCCATTTCTGGGGAAATCACAGGAAAGAATCAGCATGATCCTACTGGGTGTCTGCATGTGGCCTTGTAATTCTGAAGACCTCTAGACTGTCCTGAGCTTCAAAAGGCTGGGCTTTAGTACATAGGGCACAGTGAGCAGAGGGATGCAGAGGGTGTGGGATGTGGGGATCAAAGTGGGACCAGCCTGGCAGTTCTCTGAGCCAGCCCTACACAGCCAGGCTGTTGATTTCCCCTTACACACACAATTCAGGCTGCTCTAAATAGCACTTACTGCATTATCTCGGGCTGTTGAGTGAATGAGTTTGTTTTTTAGTTGGAAATGGAAGCAAAGAGTGAAACCAAACAGGAGAACTACTGGCTGATCCAGTACCAGCGCCTGCTGAACCAGAAGTCACTTTCCCTGAAACTCCAGGTTGCTGCTGCATTTACTGCTTCCACTGTAGTGTGCACACTAACAAAATGCTCTGCTTGACAGGTGCAGAGGAAGGAACACTTTGTTCCAGCCAAACCTCTGAACAGCTCCGCTTGGCTGCCTGGTGCTTTACAGTACTGAGCCAGGGACTTTGTGCTGTGAAAACAGGTGCAGGGCAGCCCCAGAGAGATTGCTCTGAGCTCCAGCCCTGCTGTGTGTCAGCTCAGGTTGGCAGAGCAGGTGCTGCTGCAGACATCAGCTGCCAAAATTGCTGTGTTTCATTCTTCCAAAACCAAGGTGTTCTGAATTTCGCTCATAAAGTATTTGCAGCCGGAGCTCCTTTGGCTGTTGGGCTTTTTAGTGTCTTCATGGAAGCAAAATGCTTCTAGAATGGCCTTGTTCCTGAGAGCAGGACTATGTGCATTGCCTGTCCTTGCTGCCATGCATGGTCAGGCAGCTGTGTGCCCCACACCTTTTCTCCAGAGCGAAGTCTGAGAGCTCACCTTGTGTTTTGCAGGAGGAGGGCTTGGAGAAGCAGCTGGTGAACCTTTTAATCGAGCTGTCAGCTGAACAGTATGTGCCTGTCTTTGCACACCATCGAATTTCCTTGGAAGTGCTCAGCACCATGACTGCCAGTGACCTGGAAAAGGTACGAGGCAGCAGATAAGCAGTACAGGGCAATGCTGCTCTGTGTCTGACCCTGTCGAGCCGTGCTCGTGGTTATGCCCACTGCAGATCTTGCTGGACAGAGTGTTGGTGCTCCTGGTGTGCCACATCTGTGCAGGGGGAGGTGCTGATGCTACTCTGTGCCTTGTCCAAGCAGGTGACAGATTTTCCAGAGCACCTGCAGAATGAGCTGTAGCTCAGCTCTGCCTTTCAGTCCCTCAGATGCGCTTTGTAACTCAACAGGGGCACGTGCGAATTCCTTTATCCCAGCTTTGATGCCTGATGGAGATTCTCCCCTTGACGTGAACAGGTCTTGCCAGCCTGGCCAAAGAGTTTGTGTTGTTCTCTTGGAGGTGTCTCCTTTCTCAGCCCCCTCTATGCTTTCTCATCTGAGTGCTGACAACCCTCCTTTTGCACTGCAGATGGGCATTGCAGAGACTGGCCTGCAGCGTGCCATCCTCAGACGGGTGCAGGAGATCCTGGCTGTGGCAAAGACAATCCCAGGTACCAGCAGTTCTTTTCTGCCTGCTCCTTGACGTGTCGTGTGGTAGCAGTGGGTACCTGAGCCTTGAGTGGGGAGATCTGCAGGGCCAGATGCCTGCCTATGGGGAGTAGAGCTGATGGAGGTTTGTATGCCTGTGGGAGAGGCAGGGTGTGCTGCATTGTCACCATTGACTCTCAGAGCACTGAGCTCCCGTGGGCATGCAGCTGCTCCTGACTGGGTGGGAGATGGAAGCTCTCCTTGAACTCAGACCTCTGCTTGTGCTTGCAGAGCTGCTGAGGACAGTGGACACCGAGGTCCCTGCAGCCACACAACCCTGTGCCCCTGACGAGGCGGCCCCGAGTTCTGTGGTCCCCACTGCTCCCCTGCTGCAGTGGGATGAGAAGAAGTCAGAGTGCGTTGTCTGCATGGAGCAGGAGGTGAGAGCCCGTGTGTGCTGCCAGAGCAGGGGTGAGTGAGGGCCAGCTGGGATGTGGCACTGGGCAGTGCTCTTCCTCAGGTCTGTTTCACTGTGCATGCTTTGCACAGTGCAGGGGCTCAGGGTGCTGGCACTGTCTACCACTCTGAAAGCTGTAGGTGTTGCCCATCATCTCCAGCTTCCTCCTGTATTTTGTCTAAATGTGGTGGTGCTGAGATTATGGTATAACAGCACTGTTCATGTCTTCTCTCTCTTTCCACAGGCCCAGATGATTTTCCTGCCTTGTGGCCATGTGTGCTGCTGCCAGACCTACTGCAAACGGCTACAGAGCTGTCCCCTGTGCCGCGGGGACATCACATAGCGCGTCCGCGTCTTCTACAGCAGCTAGGCAGGCTGGAGGGAGGCATGGCTGCCCAGCACTGCCCTCATCAATCCGTCCCAGGGCAGGGCTCCTCCATCAGTGTTAAATACGCTCTCACAGCATGACCCGCGCTGCCCTCTCCCTGCACACGGCTCTTGCTGGCTGCAGGCTGCACCCAGGGCTCTCAGCAGCCCTCCACCTTCCTGGTGGCTTTCCAGCCTTTGGCTTGGGTTCTTCATCTGCATCCACCATCCAGCTTGTTTGCCCAGCCTGGGAGCACTGGGTGATGGCATTGGGTGTACTGGTGCTCCTCCTCTCTGGCTATATATTTGCCATTGGAATTGCCTGTTGCTCAGCAGTGATGCAGTTAGAGCCATTGCTTCTGAAGCCACTGGGACCCTGCAGCTGCTCTATTATGGCCATGCCACTTGCCATTCTTCTGCTGTGGTGAATTCTCCTCCAGGAGAGGCATCCTGCCTTGTTAACGTTCTGGGAGGCTGAGAGTGCCTTGCTCGTGTGTTGTTGCCATAGGCAAGACTTGTGCTCTTGCAATCAGTGGCAACATGGCTGGGGGGCTGCAGCAGGAGGCAGGGCAGAGCGAGGTGCTTCCCATCCTTCACTGTCAATCCCACTGAAGAGCAGCATCTGCAGCAGCCTCACAACCAGTGCTCGAGGGACAGCTCTGACTAGAAGACATTCCTCGTTGAGACGTGCTGTGTGGGGGAAATGTTCCTGCCACAGAGTTCCAGCTCTTCCTTGTGTACGTGTGTTGGCATCTGGGTTGTTCCCCATTGTCATTAATAAGTAACGATCCCGGTGGGGCTTTTAGTCTCTTGACCTCAAGTATAAAACACAGAGATAAGTCTGGTCCTGCTGCAGCCCTTTCCCCCAGGAGAAACTATTAAATACAGCTGGTTTTGGCTGGTTGTTCGATCCCTTTTTATTGCCCCTTGTCTCGCTGTCGCAGTAGCACCTCCTCCTGGCCCAGATCAAGACACGGAAAAATTTGAGGGTTTGGATGCAGCACTGATGACTTTCAGACAGCTGGAGACCTCAGGGACCTCTGCTGCCGTCGTGTTCTGTTTACTGTGCCCTGGCAGAGCATCCATGCGGCACCGCAGCCCGGAACTGGGGGCTGGCACGGGGCCGGGCGCTGCCAGCGGTGTGAGAGCCCTGAGGGCTCACTGCGTCTGGGGCAGCCCCAAGGCTGCGCCTCTGTTTGCACGGAGCTTCGACCGCAGGGAACGGGCAGGTCCCTTCCGGAGCCTTTGAGACGCAGCGCAGAGGGGCTCAGCCTGGCGTCCCCCTCGCCTGGCAGGGCGTGGAGGTGCTCGGCATCTCGTGGGGATGGGGAGCAGTGAGGTGCCGGCTGGCGGGGCGGCAGGAAGGCTGGCAGCTCACAGCGCTGCTCTCGTGTTACCAGGGCCCCGCAGGGAGGAGTGCATCACAGCTGCTCTCACTGAGTTGCCAGCGGCTGCCGGCTGACTCCGGTGCTCCCAAGGTGGTGGTAATGAGTGACGAGCCCTCGGGCAAGGTCCGCTGCCTGCCCATAACGCACTGTGCCAGGAAAGCCCGGGGCAGAAGGAGCGGGCAGGGTCGGGCTGCCTCTCATCCCCAGGGCCAGCCCTGCTCGGCTGCACAGGGGGACGCAGCGGCAGCCGGGGCAGCAGCTGGCGCTGCGACCGACCCAGGTTAAGGGCGATGTGATGCTGAGCGCTGACAGCTGGGCACGCAGGGCTCGGTGTGAGCTCGTTGTAAAACAAAATAACAAGACCAACGCGTTGTGCTTAGGGAATACTTCGAATATCGGGGCTCACTGCCCCCGATGTAAAGGAAAAGAAGGAAAAAGCGTTTTGTTTCATGGACCGTGGGCAGATAACTTATCACGTGGTCATGCACTGGGGTTGGTCATCCATCCATTACGCACCTCTGGTGGGAAGGCTGGCTCTGTCTCCTGCTTGCAGGGCCACTGGGGCACCCGGAGCTCCACGGCAGCCCCGGGCAGCGGAGGAGGAGCCGGGCCGGCGCCGCCGGGCACCCCGGGGCCGGGCTGAAGTTCAGCAGCCTCCGCCTTCCAGGGCACGGCCACCAGCCGCCTCCAGCCTTCAAAAGCACGAGAGCGGCGTGGCGCTGCCCGGGAGCGGCATGGCGGCGGGGCCGGAGACCGGCGGGGAGTGCGGGATCTGCTATGAGGCGTACCGGGGCGTCCGGGCGCCCCAACAGCTGCCCTGCAGCCACTCCCTCTGCCAGAACTGCCTACGCAAGCTGGTGTGCCGCGCCGCCACCGTTGCCTTCATCAGCTGCCCCTTCTGCAGGATGGTGACGCTGGTGCCCGAGATGGCCCCAGGAGGCCGTGGGTTGACGCCGATCCCGGGGACCCCGCACCGCCCCCAGCTCACAGCCGGGGAGGAGGAGGAAGACGATGAAGGCAGCGGTGCCCGTCGGGCCTCGAGGCACTCCATGGCCATGGAGGTGGCCTGCGCAGCCCACGCTCCCATCTTTACGGTGAGCAGCATGGTGGCCCCCTGCAGCCTCCGCCGTGGCCCCGATGCGCCGGGAGCCTTCGTGCTGGGGCTGCCGGGAAGGGGGCTGCTGCTGGACTCACAGCCGCCCCTCACCTCCGTGGAGAATCTGCGCCTCGGCTTCGCCGCCGGCATCCTCATCCTTATCGTCGCCACCTTCTTCCTGCTCGTCTTCCTCAAGTAGCACGGAAGGCTCAGGGCCGGCACTGCGGACCCCACCATCCGCTGTTGGAGCCCGGCTCGCCTCCAGGCAGCAGCACGGACCCACAGCTGGGTCAGGAATTCGGGCTCAGCCATCGGATCGCAGTGAGGTGGGGACAGGACGGGGGCTCTGCTTCCTACAGGATCAGCCCCGTGCTGTGGGAGCTGCAGCGCACTCAGCCGTGGCCTTGTGGCACCGACATGGACCCCAGGGCATCAGACTACTAAAAATTAACTGCTTTCAGTGCTTTCCTTCACCCCCTGGGACCCGGCTGTGCTCACGCTGCATTTACAACTTTCCTGGAGCCTCCAGCCATCCCGGCAGCAGGAGTCACAACGCCCTGCAGCATTCCTTGGGCTGCATCCACACCTGGCATCCAGGAGAAGGGCAGCAGGGGCTGCAGCTGTGCCCAGCCTGCAGGGTGCTGAGGGCAATGCACAGCGATCTGCAGCACCTTGGTGCGCTTCAGGGGTCAGAGATGGGCATCGCCTGTCCCAGCCAGCCCTGAGGGCCACACAGGATGGGATGGGAAAGGTCTGTGCTGTTTTGCCATTGGTGAAATGTTGTCAAAAAGCAACTTTCTGTGCTTTCTCCCTGTGGTGCTTAGAGCAGAGCCAAGGCCCCTGTAGAGGGATACAGGGACGTGGCAGCTGGGGAAGGGCAGTGGGGAAAGGATGAGATATTAAAGATGCACACTGGTCCAGAGCCGTCTCCAGTCATTTTTCCCTTTGCAGCCATGGGGTTCAGAAGCATAAGGCGCCATCCTTCTCCGAGCAGCCAGCACAGGGTGGGAATCCTCACCTTCCCCCAGGTACATCCCATCATGTCCTCCTAGAAGTGTTTCTAGATCATTTTTCTCCTAGTTTAAGAGGCAGCTTGGTTTTTAAGTGCACGCAACTAGACTGCAGTAAAGCCACCCACAGGCAGAAAAGACAGGTTTAATTGCACTTTATTTATCAAGAAATGAAATGCAAGTCCTTCAGGCTACCTGTAACAGGAAACAAGGAGCGGAATGTGTTAGTTGCAACCTGCACAGGGCACTGCTGCAGCAGGGAGGCTGGAGCACAGCAGGGTTTGTGCACTCAGACACCATCAACTTTCAGCACTGAGATACAATTCGATTCTTTGATGTCTGGAGCAGCTGTTAGGAAACCTCAGCCACATTCACCCTATGACAGCAGCACAGCCCCAGCAGCTATTTGGCTGCTCCACAGACTTTGGTCTCCTCTCCAGTTTCAGCTGCTTTTGGCCATTTGCCACACAGAGCGCTGTACAGGGGCAGGGGGCTGACAGATGGCTGCACACAGATACTTCTTTTCTCCCCAGAGAAGATGGCACAGGCCAAGTTCAGTGGTGGAATTACCCTAGTAACTTCCATCTTATTAATGGAACAGGGGTCTGTGTGTTACTTGTTTTAACAACACTATCTACCGTTCCTTCCTTCTAAGTTGCTTTAAGTGCAGAACAGAAGTGCCACGAGAAATCCAAAATCCAACCTCTCTGCACAGCTGCCTCTCCTCCTTGCCCTCTTTCCTCGCTCCACTCACACTGAGCAGCTGAACTTCACTCCTGGCTCCCAGCAGAGCCCAGCTGAGGCTGCATTACAGCACACCCGGCCTCCATTCCATTCACTCGTGCTGCATTCATCACAGCAACAGAGCAAAAGGCACAGGAGAGAAGCTGGGCTGGCTGCAGCAGACAGAATCATTGCCAAGAGATCTTCACTCTTAGTCTGACTTCTATAAAAGTAGTTACCTACCGCAGGGTCCTGCCAGACTTGTTCTTCTGAAGCACTTTATGTAGTTCAAATTTGCATAAAGTTTCTGATTAATCAATCAATGGTTCACAGAACAGCAATACAAACACGCAGTGAGACCAGTCGGTTCCTCCAGCTCATCCCAACCTCTGTGCATGTCTGTCAGTTCAGAACAGCTGGTCTGAGTGCCCAAGAGTGCAAAGGGAGACTCCTGCTCTCAGGCCCTGTCAGTCTGCAGTAGAAGAGCCCGAGGAGTCCTTGGTTGTTCACAGCTGTCCCACAAATGCAGCTCATTAAGTGCTATGTGCACAGGGAGTGGCCGTGCCCACAGGAGGCCTCACAGGCTCAGCAGGCAGCTCTTCATCCCAGCCAGTCGAGATCATCATCATCGTCATCACCAAAGAGTGGAGCAGGAGGAGGGCGACCCTTCATGCTCTGGAAATCAAAGCAGAGGGAAACCTGTCAGCCTTACCAGCTTCCCAGTATTCAGTAACTGCCACAGAGCTCTGATCAGAAATCTGCATCAGCTTTTAGGAGACAATAAATAAGCAGCATCATTATTGATGGTTTTTATGTTTGTCATACGATGGCTTAATCTTTCAGGAAAGAAGCTTAGAGCTCAAGAGCCAGGAGGGAGTAGGAAAACAAACCCCCCTTATTTAATCCATGACCTTCTCCTAACGCCTAATGCAAGCAAGAGTTTGTTGTCACCATTCCAGCCTGTGCAACACCTCCAATTGCAGTGAGAAACAAACCCAGAAGCTGAATTTATACAGAGAATCTCTGGGAAGCTCCAACCTCAGCCAGCAGGGGCCAATCAGCCCCCACAGATAAACTGCAGGTTAATGCTTGAGTCAGTTCAGTGGGAGTGGAGAGAAACACATACCACTTCCTCCTCATCCTCCTCTTCGGAGGGAACTCGAGGCTTTGGTGATTTAAGAGATGTTGTTTTGAAGAAGTCCTCGTCCTCAAAGAGCCTGGAAGATAAAGAACAAGCAGTTCACTTGCAGAATATGGGACCTTGGTTTCCTTTTGTGTGTTTTATTAAGAATATCAAAGTCTCAACACCCAGACCATCTCTGCTTCACATTTTAAGGCACAGAGCACTCACCAGTGCACAACAGTTCAGTGATGGGATGTGGCAGCCACCAGTAACAGATCCCACAGGAACTGTACACTCCTCTTCAGGCTCAGCTGGGAACCATTCACATCAGACACCACCACCTCCACCTCCACCCACTTTCAGCAGTGTGCCCTGAACAACTTGAACTCTGCCAGATGCTGCCTGGGCATCCAAGACCAGCACCAGAAGGCTCCTCAACCCTACATGTGTTGTCCTGTGCTACAACACAGCTGTACCAGCCACTGGTGCGTGCTGTTGTGCCAGCCTGTCAGCAGGAAGATAGGACTGCAGCCACCCCTGCACTTACATCTTACCTGGAGCCCTTTTGGCTGGGACTGGAGCCCAGTTCCTGCTGCTGTGGGACTTCTCTGATGGTAGTTGAGCTCTTCTCCTCCGTTTTGGATACTAAAGCAGGCTCCTGGTCAGAACCAGCTCCATCTGACGGGTCTGTGCAGTTTTCTCCCTCACTTCTTAAGGGAGGGGGCTCTAAACCTCCCACAGGCTCCTCTGCCTCCTGTTCTGCTGCTGGTTTGTCTGCAAGCACAGCCACATCTGTTTCTTCCGTCTCGGTTTCTAGAAAAGAAGGATCTGCAGCTTCTGCCTGTAAGGACACTCCAAAGGGACCATGTTCAGTCTCTGCTTTCTTTATGGGGCTGCTCTCCTGCTTTTGCTCAGCCAGAACAAAATCCTCATCCACCTTGGGAATGACCTGTTCTACAAGCTCAGGCCCCTTATCAGCATTCAAGCAGCGTTCAGCTCCAGAAGAGAGAAATTCCTGCTGGACCACCTCCTCTTCCAGCACTCCACTGCTGTGCAGTGCCTGCTCCTCCTCAGGCATTCTGGCCTCAGGAGCAGGAGCTGCAGCTTCACCTTTGTGGCCAGACGACGATGAGCGTGTGCTCACTTCTCTGGGATCAGCAGAGCACACAGCACCCCGGGCAGGGCCGTGCTGCACGCGCTCCTCCTGGTCTGTCTTTGCTCTAAGCGATCCCTCTGGTCTCCCCACTCCAGATTCCTCTTCCTTTTTACTGTCATGCTCTGGTCTCTCCTGCTGCTTGCTGAGTAGCTGCAGTGTTACAGTCTAAGAAATGAAGAGAATGTAGGTTACATCCAAGACCAACCTTCACATCTGTGTTGTCACACTACTAGGCTGCTTTGCTACCCACACTTCATTTCTGCCTCACAGTTATTTCATACCCCTTACACTCTGTTTCAGTGCAAGCCTTAATCTCTCACATTTATTACGTTCTCTCTTCTTGCTACTGTACCTTGATAGTGTTCATGACAACACCTAGAACCATCCTGCCACTGTATGTCTCCTCCAGCTCAAATTCATCCCGAAGAGACTGAAATACCCCATTCATTATCTTCTTTACCTGGAAAAGAGCAAGGCAGGAAGCAGACAGTTCATTAACATCTGAAGCAAAGGTAGAAGATAAAAGGTACTTCCCTGGGCAAAGGAGCAATAAACCCAAACAAACACATGCTGACTCAAGGAACTTAACTGCTTTTCAAACCAGGATTCCACAACAAAGTAGAATATATCATGTCATTTTAATCAGAACTATTACACACACCAAACCCATTCCTGACTGAGGCAGGCTGCACAAACCCAAGGCAGACACACTGCTATGTTTTCAAGTTTTAAGTCTAAGCTTCCTTTGCTCCTCAACAGGTCCTATTACCAAAACCATAGTGCTTTCATGGAGAAAATAAATCCAAAGGATAGCTCACTTCTTCTGTGAAGTTCACAGGTGAAGATCTGTCCTGATTCTTCTCCAGCTTTTGGATACATTCTTCATAGCGAGCCTTCAGCATCACCATTTCAGACTGCAAGGCTGAATACTGCCAAAGAGAAACTCGAAGTTACAACAATTGTAGTGCTATTTGTGAAACTAAGTTTGCAATGCTGTTTTTTATGTTTTTAAGTGAAGGGCAAATTGTCAGTCCACAAGCAAGGCAAGGACCAGGCCTCATCACTGAGCCTGTTCTGATTTGCTGGAAGCAACATGATTCTTCCTTCCCTCTCACATTCCTGAACTCATGTTCTTGCTCTGGACACAGGTGGCCTGAGGCTAACCATTGCTGCACTCCAGTTTGTATTCAGCTGCTATGTTATCCTCCTTACCTTCTCTTTGATAGGCTCCAGTTGTTCCAAATGTTGCTGAAGCTCAGACAATTTTTGTTCCTCTGCTTTTTTCAACTGTTTCAGAGCTACCAGCTGAAAGACAAGGACCATCAGTTTACAGCTCTGTTCAATGTCATCCAGCTCAAAACTATTTCTGCTCAAAAACAGTCATTGAGATAGAACCGTATAGAGATTGTGGCCGTTGCTTTAGCCTATCAACACTGACATCATTTTGGCTCTGGCTCACTCAGGAGCTGCAACAGCAAGCTCATTCATTAGCCCACTAAGCCAGTGTAAGAGATGCACACAACATCTTGCAGACCAGGTCAAATTCCTCAGGCAACCAAGAGGTTAAAAGTCCAACCACTATCAGGGAGCAGAGGACTTACAGGCATCGATTATTTGGAATTCTATTTCAGCAATAAGGAACAGTCCTTTACCTTCTCTTCCATCTGCAACACCTGCTGCTGCAGGGAGTCTCTCTGCTCACACACCTCCTGGTACTGCCTCACATGCTGCTCCTTGGCAGAGGCCAGCGTCCGTTCACATTTGGCTTCCCACTGGGATTCCAGCTCTGCCTGGATGAGTGACAGCTGCCCCCCATAGGAGCAAGATCATCAGGAACAAACATGCACTTCATCTGAAGCTGTGTAACAAACTGCTGAAAGCTCAGGGCCCAGACAAACAGTGGGAAAGCAGCATCACCTGCCCGAGGCTGGACTTCCTACATGCAGATGGCAGCCATCACCAGCTCCTATCCCCACCTCAGAGTTCAGTTCCAACCACAACCCCACAAGTTGTCCCAGACTTCAGAACTTCAGATCTCCTTGCATTTTTATTTATTTATTTATTTTTATACGTAGCTGTTCATCCATCAGCAGCCACACATCTGTCTTTCTACTGGAAAATGAGTTCAAGGTCATGCCTCTCTCATACTCTCAGGACAGTCTAAATGTGATGCTGCATGCCAGTCTGCATCAAAACTCCAGAATAAAAAATCTTGGAGTCAAAAAGCAGTGACAAACACCAAAGACATCATATAATAACAAAGAAGAGAACCCTGTGTTGAAATTAACCCTAAGAGCAAGCGACTGATGTTCTCATCCTTTCACTGCCCAAGCAGTTTTTAATTACTATTTCCTACCTGTGGGTCACTGCAAGTTTTCTAGACACCAGCTGGAGAAGCTCCCACAGCTCCTTACCTGCTCTGCTGCTGCCTGGTCAGTTGAGGTCCTTGCCTTTTTCAGCAACTGTCGAAGTTTGTCCAATTCCTGCTGATATGATCTGCGTATTTCTTCCATCTCTTCCTCTGCTTGAGCTCTCTCAGAGAGGGATTTCTTCTTCCTCTCAGCAAGATTCTGCAGTACAGAACACAACTTAAGCACAGGCCAGACTGCACCAAAGTAGCTTCTTTTCTTCTTGCTAGAGGAGCTTACTTAAGGAAATGATCTTATTTCAAAACAAAGTTGAGATTTATCTAATAGGTAGGAAGGTTAGCATAGTACTGAGTAAGAGTGGGGAAAAATATATCACATAAGCATGAGATATCCACCAGCACAGTGATTCTTGCCTGCAGATGAGTCAAGATTCACTTAAGCTCCATGCCTACAAGCAACATCATTAAGGCACATTTCTAGCAAACAGCTGAAATCCTGCATCTCTCTAGCATCAAACATACCTTTTCAAGAGTCTCCTTTTCTACTTTTAGGTCTGTTAGTTCCTCTTCCAGTGCTGAAATCTTCATGTCCAAGTGTTTACGGCTCTGCTTCTCAGCTTTGAATCTAGTTTGGGTGTCCTCAGAGGCTTCTTGGAGCTCTGCAGAAATACAGTTTACTGTGGGTTTCAGCACTATGTGATTCAAATTAAAGGCTGACAGAAAGGAGCAGTGCTTTTTGCACAACTATGCTGACTCGGTTTACATCTGCAATAGGAACACAAATGTATCAAAAGCTGCTCCTGTGAAGTGGGAGTGCTTAAAACCTTGGTCTTGATCTAAACTTGATCAACAGGAAATCTAGATCCTCTACAGCTAGACAGGCCAAGAGTTTGCTTCTACAGAAGGCACCCCTGTGTCAGAGTGACTTTGCTCATCAGTTCAGCCCACTGTCCTATTAGTAGTGGCAAGGATGCATGTGCCCTTCAGACAGCTGGGCACATCTCTATCCTTTGATACCCTGCGACTGATCCCAGGGAAAGCAGGAATAAATACCCCAGGACAAAGGAAAACGTATGACTTACAGAAGAGGAAACAATGGCATGGAGGGGCTCTCGTGGAACAAGCTAAATTTTACCTGCTAACTGTGCCTGCATTTTGTTGAGCTGTGCCTCGTGTCGCTCTGCCTCCTGCAGGGCAGCAGAGAGCTGTTTCCGCAGATCCATTTCCTTCTTCTGATGTGCAGTCAGCTCCAGCTGCAGCTGGGACACTTGTGCTGTGGCAGATGCCAACTCCTCTGCAACTTTGGCCTGTGGCACAAAACAGCAGGGAAAAGGGGAAAGAAAAGAAACTGTAGGATATGTGAATGTGAGGAGGTGCCAGAACTGCGCTCACAGGAAGAACAATAAGGCTGTGGAGACCTTGTCAGGAGTCCAGCATCTATCAGGCAGCCCTAATTGAAGAGGTACTAATCACCTTTTGCCATGTTACTGTCTCCACCGACTGGAAAGGTGCACAAGGCCACCAGCAACCTCATTATGTTGCCTAACTCAGCCAGGTTTTTTTACCCTTAAATAATTTAAACACATTTTTCAGACTCGAATAGAGCTATCAGCACTGGTACTGAGTTTTCATGCTATGCCACTATCTACTCAAGGTAAAGCCTGGACTTTAAGACTAATTATTCTCAAGAAGATTACAAATCACTGAATCAACCACACATAACATAGGGCTATTGTAGCAAAATAAGCACATCCCCTCACAAGCTTGTGGTGCACGATCACCTTGAGGTGCCATTTGAAGCAGTACTGTTCCCAGAGTCATTTGTTAACCTGTTCAGATTTAGCATTGCTTGAAGCCAGAAACTTACACAAAAGCTGGTTCTGAGACAGCTCGTTAGGCAGCTTGCAAGCAACGCATTTGGAGAGGCTCAAGTCACCAAGACAAAGACACAAAGGAGGGTTTCAACTCCTGTCGCCTAAGTCACAAGATTCAGAGGATCCTCTGCAGAGGCAGAACTGCAGTCCCTGCTGTACAGAACACCTGAACAGCTTGTACATCTCTGCTTGCATTCAGATCCCTAACAGGCTTTCACGCTGCTCTAAGTGGCAAGCCCTCCTGAAGCTCCTCTCAGGCTTATTTCCATGAAGGAAATAAAGACGACCAACACCTGGCAGAGAAGAGCTGTGTGCAAAATCTTTCCTGTCATGGCAAGGATGATACATGCTACCCCGAGGGCTGGGATTCTACACTGTTAATTTTTGAGAACCATGTTGATAGAGACTGACTAAAACGAGATCTATTTTCTTTTTATGTTTCCATAACCATCTCATTACTCAGGATACAGGCTCCTAGCATGCTAAAATTACCTGTTAGATATACGATGGGGGTCTATTTTAACACGTCCTGTTATCTTTGTGTGCCCTCAAGGAAAGTAAAAAGGAAATCCTAAGCCAGGAACAGTTATTAGACTGAAAACATTCCATGCCTGTACCAGCTCAGCTCCAGCCTCCAGGTACAAAGAATCTCACACAATCCATACCTGATCTTACAATTATATAATCACAGCTATTTCTCCCGTGAGGGAGATGAAACGAGCAGCAGAGTGGTGAAGTTTGTTGAAGGGGCTCCCCAGGGAGGAGGCAGCCAGCAGCTACACCGCTGTCAGTTATAAAGCCCCTTTCCGAGTGGAAGATCTGTGTTAATTCAAGATCTGAGGCAGTTCTTTTCATGTCAACCAACTCCTAACTATCCTCAGGAGGAAGCTGGGTATCACAATTATCTGTCATCTACACAGTCAGCAGACACACTGCCTCACCTGTTCCCAGCCCCGATCCACTGGCAGCATGTGCTAGGAAGAAAAAGTAGTGACAGGAAACAGGGAGAGTTAAGAACACAACTTGAAAGGCAGAGGCATTCATCATCATCAGAACAGCTAGTGTTTTATTACTGGAGCCTGAGATATGCCAGAGAAACATTTAAGTTCTTGAATAACTGTAAAAGCTTAGATAGAAGAAGGGGAAAAGGGAGTTAAAAGAACCTGAAGGGATCTTCACGCTGCAGATACACTGCATACCACACAAATTATATGAAGCAGGCAGCAGGCTGGTCATACCAGGTCCTACACATAACTACCGTTTCACTGCCGTGAGGAGCATGCAGCTACTTGCAAGTGTTATGAAACATGAGCCTTAATTGAAAACTGATGTGCTCTGCCAGGGCCAAAGATCTATAATCCCAAAGCAGCAGGTTACCAACATCTCTTCTCAGGGACCTTTGTCTGCAGATTCCTGGTCTCTATCACGAAACAAAGGGCAAAGCTCATTTTTTAAGAACAGATAAAACAGTTTTAAGTCCTCTTCCCTGCTCCTCCTACTGAAGCTATAAATGGAAATAGCAGATTAGATAAAAGGAAGAGGAAGGAATGCCAGGCATCAGATTGCAGTCAATCCTCTACCAAAACTAGCGAAAAGCTTCTCTGGTGCAAATTATGGCTGACCTGGTCTAGCCTGAAGTCTGTTGATGTAACAGTGTCATCATCCAGGTAGCATCTGCTCAGTCAAGTCAAATCCTACTGCAGATGATGCCTGAAAACTTCCTTTTATTGCTTGTACTTCCAGAAGATGCTCCCCCCCCCATGCAAGCAGGATGTCACGCTCACTGACAGAAAGGAATCTGCCATCTCACTCTATTCCTCGTTAGGTACTCTCACACTTCCAGCTATAGGTATGCAATCTGAACTCTCAGTGGAAAAAATACATCCCTCCTTCACCTGCTGATGAAGGAGCACACACGTATCAGCCACATGACTTCATTCTTTACCCTGCAGAAGCACCTGTTAGCATACTTTGGAGGGCAGCTACTTCCATAGAATTTTGGTGTACCAGTTCATGGTACTCATACAGAGCAAGCATTTATCTTACCACATTTGGTCTGCAGAGATACATAACTTAGATGGGGAGAATGGTGCAAGAGAGGGTGCTGTAATTTAGCTGACTGGGCTTGAGAAAGCCTAGAGGACATCAAGCAATTAGAGATCTCAAAGCTGCCCTACCAGCGTTAGAGCGAGAGCACTTCACAATATAAAAGCCATGCCTAAGTGCATTTAACTGGCTTGAAAGCGATCTTCCAGTCGCCCCTTCCATAAAAGCACTACACATTACCCTAGGAATAACTCCCCTGATTGCTGTTGAAAGAGGTGTTAAAAAAAAAAAAAAAAAAGCAAACCAAGCACAAACACAATACAGAAGCTCTAGCAGGAAACTGTTTTTCTTATAGCTATACTCAATCTTATGCCAATTAAAAAGAAAAAACTCTTTTTAAACTGTCAGCACAATCACGTGCATTTTCAGCCAGACCAGGCCACGTGAGGCATGTAACACCTCCACATGTTGGGCATGTATTTATGAAGTTAACAACCAGATACTTCCCTGTTAAACTATGAGTATTTAAGCTGTGACAGCACAACAATCTGAATTTATAAACTTTGTGCTGCTTTTATTTTGAAAGCCATGAAAACATTTATTTATTCATTTTTTAAACTGCTTTCAAAACACTGAAAACTGCAGTCGTCCTGTATGAGATCTGACTCCAGCTGTCCTGGCTGAAGCCATAAGTCTGTGATTCCACAATGCTGTCAGCATGGCTTTACCTTCTCCTGTTCTGCATGCAACACTCTTGCCTGTGTGTTTTCATTTGTTGTTTGCAGTGAGTGGTTCCTCTGCTCCATCAACAAGTTACTCTGTTCGACATACCTGAAAACAGGGGAAGGTGGCACAAGCACTTCTATAAATACACAAATGGAGCAAGAAGTGATGAGACAGACAAAGCATTTCAAATCAGCTTTCACTAATGAGAAGTCCCAGACAATTCTGTATCATGTCCTGCACTAAGAAGTGCCTTACCTCCACAGGGTGGAATGGATGTTCCCAGCCTTCAGCACAGATTACGTCAGTTCAGATATGTGCTTTGCCTCTCTGCCACTAGTCTATGATTCCTACCACATAGCCAAGATTTTTGATAGCCTGGTAACCACTGCTTTCTGCTTTTTCCTTGAATAAGTGACTCACCTTCATAAACTTAATGGAACGCAACACTGGAACTCACTGGAACTGGGAACACAATTTCCTGTAAAATTTCTCCCACTTTACTAAAAGGCTAGCAAAAGCAAAATAACCCCCAGAAGCAGAGGAAGTATGCTCAAAGAAAGTGGCATGAGATCTTTCCCTTTTACATATATTACATTACATATACATATATTACATCTTACTGTAAGATCTCATTTGGAGACATGCACTGCAAAGACAAAGGGGGATTAACAAGCACCAATATTTTAATACAAAAAAAAATAATAAATAAATCACAACTTCTCTCCATTCTAGAGATAGGACACCTCCTAGTTACATCTAAACAAATGTAAGATAGAAACTCTTTGCAGCTGCAGACACCTTCCACTCCTTACCTCTGATTCCGCTCTATCAGCTCACTGATTTTTTCATTCTGCTCCTCAATTCGACTGCTCTTCTCAAATATCTCCTGCTTCAGTCTCTCGTTCTCCTAAAGAACAGTTCAGTGTGAATATTCACCCTACTCAGGTCCTGCTGCAAGGAAGTTTTTGTTCTGTTCAGATGATTTATAGCAGTGAGGTGTATCACCTCCTGTGGTGAATCACAAGCCATCAAAGAAGGTACCATACTTAGTTCAGCAAGAACCCAGGAACAGGACAGTGGTTGTACTTCAGAATATTACATCTGGTTGGTTGTTTTGTTGTTTTTTTTTTTTTTTCACCACAGGTAAAGAGATAGTAAAGCTGCTGCCTAGAAAAACTACAAAGCACAAAACTAAGTAGCTATGAGAGGTGGTTTGCACAATACGCTATCTCCTCTGCAAACCTTACTTCTGCAAGCTGTTGTGGATTAAGTCCATACCAGTTCAAAATGAAACTAAGTTTCTTTCACTTGAGTTCTCTGTCAAGGACTACTAAATATAAGTACATCAACTCTGACTTGCAAAGTCCCAGAAGAGAAAATTGCTGGGTGCACAGAAAAGCAGGTGTGCATACAGGTGTGATGGGGATGGAAATGGCTGTAGATCATTGTAGACCCTTTTCCCTAGCCAGCTGGTTTTGGCCATACAGAAATAAAGCATATGGATGAAAGTACATTTAGGCCAAGCCAATAAAGCTATCTTCATCAGAAATAACACAGTGGGTTGCACTTCCTTATAGAAATAGCCCTGTAAGGCTGGCTTTGGTCACCTGGATTATCCGCTGGATGTTGCTCATGATCATAGAGGCTTCCATAGTAACAGATGAGATACCAGGCAGTAGTGAACTGTTCCCGGCATTTTGTTTCTTCATCTCCTCAACCTGTAGAAACCGCCAGATGAAATGAATTCATGGACGCAGGTAAGTGCGAACCATTTGCCATTTCACAGAACCACTTCACTTCTCTGTCTGCCCACCTCCAGGGCACAGGCTGCTACAAAAACTGTGACATCTCCTGAAGTGCAGCAGCGAAGCACTCCAAACAGATTACATTACATTTAGATTATATTTACACTTAGATTACATTTAAGTAAACACCTCCCCCACAGCTAGTACAGACTTTTCCCATAGTAGCCAAACTGCTACCATTTCAAGGTCTGACAAGACTGGAAAGCTCATTAAGTTAGAATACTGTTCACAAACTTGATGCAGGTATTTACAAAGAGCCATTTCTCCATACTGTATTTGGAGAGCAAACAGCAGAAACTTTGTTGTCAATCCTGCCTACTCATACATTACCTTGGCAGCCAGATGATCCATTTTATCTCCTACTTTGCTAACAGCCAGCCGGATTTCAGTGTTATGCTGCCGAACTTCTGTCATCAAAAAGGAAGTAACGTCCCCAGGTGCTTGAATGGAAAGGAGAGAGTTCCACAGTCACAAGGGTGAAGTGTCTGCACACAGACGTATTAGAAGCAATGCTTACCAGTTTGCAACCTGCTAGAGAGGATGGCCACTCTCTTTTTTCCAACCCCAACTTCACACCTCCTCCTTCCTCCCTCCTCTCAAGACTGCATTCCTCATCCTGAATCCCCTCATCCAAAATAATAAACACTGTATCCACACTATTTTATTTTTTTTTTGAGATATTCTCTAAAATAGCATACATATTTTCCAAATAAAGGTTTATGAGGTTTATAGGTTTAAAGGTTTATGTAGGTTTATGACTACATGAAATTCTTGAGCTGCCTGAGAGCAGTTAGGTAAACAGGAGAGAACCCCTCAGAACACTGGAACAGCACAGAATGGTGTGATCAAGCAATAGGAACAGAAGTTGGCTTCCGAGCGTGTACTGAACAAGAAATGCTCTGCTATACTCAAGTCCACACAAAATCTACAACAGGGATTATCCTTTTTTTTTTTTTTTTTTTTTTTATGCTATTTGCTCTTCCTAGGTTGCATTCCATTTTTGAGCTAATTCCTCCTTCTCAGAAAAGGCTCTTCCCCTATGTGACAGGATAGCTGTTAAAATTGCTTCACTTGCTTAAGAAGTATTTGCAATAAGATAGTTGTTATTTTTAAATGGTTATATTTGCAACTGGAAGTACCAGCTGCAAGATGCCTCTAATAATACATATCTTTAGGAATACAAGTACAGCTTCCCTCCCTTTTGCTCTCCATAAGCAAAGAAAGAAAGATGTATATTTACTGGGAAGCATTTGTCCCTCCCTGGTAATTAAAAACAAGAACATTTGAAACAGCACAACATTACAGCCAGGGTAAATATGTGTATGTTACCACCACCACCCAACACCACTGCTATAAACAACTCACTGCAGGTATTAAAAGCTTCCATAAAGCATGTGCTTTTCAATCATACCTTGGTAAGGTGCAGGATACATCTGTCCTACAGGCTGGAGCTGAGAAGCAGATGCAGCAGTTTGGGAATAAGCAAATGGCATGCCTGGATATGACTTGCAAAACAAAATGGACAGGTTAGGTACTCTCCCCCCTCATACTAAAATGAGTTTCATGACTTTTTAGACCCCAAAACAAAGATTATATTTGAAAAGAATGAAAACAGAAACAGAGTAGAAAGTCAAAGAAACACAAACAACTTTGCTCTATGAAAAATAGCACAGACAATTCTTTAAAGGCTTAGATATCTACATGCTTGAGTTACCAAGTTATCTTCCTCACCAAAGCTTAACCAAATGTATGTTGGTCTACAGTCATAGAGGTAAAGATCAACATGTGAACAGCTCCCTGCAGCTAACTGGGTGTACAGTAATTCCAAGTTATACTAACTTGAACATGAGGATATTCCTAGGAAATTACCTAGCATTTTCTGAACCTGCTCAGGGCTCATCAGAAGCAGCTACAGAACAATCTGTGAATCTGTTAAAGACTAGGAGTATTTCACTGTTATTAATTTACACTGTCAGTCAAAAAAAAAAAAAAACAAAACAAAACAAAACAAAAAAAACCAATACACAGAACTTCTTCCAAGTTTTGAGAAGAACTTGAAACATCAGGGTCAACTTTTATCCTCACAGTGATTTGGAACTATTGGTTTGGAAACTTCACTCTAATTGCTAGTTTCTGTCTTTCGACAGAGAAGTTCATCTTCTAAACACAGTTACCTGTAACATTTCCTCAGTTTCAACATAAAGAAAACACAAAGCCAAAGCAACATATTGGTTTCTTTCTTCACAGTGCTTTTACTCATTATCAAATGTTTTCTTTATCTGGATCCTTCAAAAATAAGCAGTGCTTCCACATGATACAGGCCACTGTTTGATTTCCTGAACTTTCAGAAAATAGATTAAAGAACTAAAACTGCGTACAGTAATAAGCTTGGTTTTACAATTCATAGAATTGTTCATACAATGGCTCTGCTCCAAGTCTTCAGCATCTGCATTTTAGCATGTTTGTTGAGCACCCAGGAAGCTTGTTGCTGAGCAGGTCACGTCACTGTACAGCTGTGGCACTGGAAGCCCTTTAGAAGGCTGCTCTTTTGCTGGATGAAAAGCAACCCATAAAGATGTAGGTAAGGGAGCTCTCCCAGGAAAACACAACCATGGAAAACCTAATCTAAAATAAAAGCCTTCATTTTCACCTACCCTGCAAGTCTGTGGAAATTTCTTTTATCCACCACAAAGCTGATACTGAAGAGGGATGGTTAACTGGTTAACTCTTTGTCCAAGAAGTCCTTTCTAATCAAGAACTAAGAAGCATGTTACTTCAGAGTGCCAGAGTCGTAGAAAGCAGCCTGGAATTGTCAGCTTTATATGCTGCTTGAGTTCTTTCTCCCAGCAACAGAGAGGACAAAGACTTCTGAATAAAAACACAAGTTCTAACAGTCTCCTCAATTTGAGTTTGGTACCTGAAAGCCCTGTGCTCCTCCAGGCAGAACTGAATGGGCTTGGATGGTTGCAGGCATTAAAGCAGCAGAAGATACTGGAGGTGCAGAACCAGATGCTTGAGCTACTGAAAGGGAACAAAGAAATCCAGCACATCAGAAAGCTGCTAGAGATATTTTATCTTTTAAAGGAAGGAAAAGAAAAAAAAAAAAAAAAAATCACTGAAAAGACCAAAAATTTAATGCAAGCCTGCCTGTAGACTTGGGAAAATCAATCACAGTCAAAGAATTGAGAGTAGGATTGAAGAATTATCTTTCATGAAAATTTCACTTCTAACCACAAGTTCAATTTAGACAAAGTCTTTGTCATACTAACAAAGGTGCTTTGAATTAATGGACACAAAATGACTCTGAAGGCTGCTCAGCTGATATTCACTGCTCTACCATGGAAAAACAGGTCAGGCCTGTTCTTGAACTGCCAGTCTTCTGATGCCCTTTTGCCCATTTCCAACATTTTCAACCAACAGATTTTGCAAGCCACAGACATCTCAGAAGTCTCAGCACATTGAAGGACAGGGTAGAAGGTCAACTCACACATTATTCTGTAATACAGCTGCTTTTCCTCAAGTAGAAATGTGTACACAAGATCATAAAAAAGAAAACAAACTATAAAGACGTCAGTCTCATGCTTTATGAATTATACTACAGAGCTTTGGATCAGTACATCTCACCAGAGTCTATCAGCTCCTCCTTCAGTTCCTGACAGCAATTTTCTACTCACAGCCCTGGTACCTGAAGCCCACAGCAAAGTGAAATTCCTGTTCCCAACGCAGACTCCCCAGCATATTACCTTGTGATGACACTGTAGGCAGCACTGCATGAGCTGGCTGTGACGATCTCATGGAAGATGAAACCACTGGTTGTGCTGCCCCTCTCAGTGAATTTGGATCCTAAAAACATTCTACATATTAAAATGGACATCAAAGAGCAACTTAACAGTTTGAACTGAAGTCTATTTGACATTAGCCATTACCCGTTAATTCATCTGAACTACTCAGGAATACTGGAATTACTGAAATTTTTTTTTGCCACAGAAACAACGTGCATTCCCTGTAGAAAGGAGGGCTATTGCTATGAACTCTACTTTAGGCAAGTCACATAGAATCATAGAATCATAGAATCACCAAGGTTGGAAAAGACCTAAAAGATCACCCAGTCCAACCGTTCACCTATTCCCAATAGCTCCTACTAAACCTTGTCCCTCAACACAACATCCAGTCTTTCCTTGAACACCCCCAGGGTC